ATCTGTGGCGGTAACAGCAGACCTGAGCAGGACCTCTGCTCTTTGTGACAGGTGTCATGTGTGATTTATGAGTTGGTTAGGAGACAGCACAGCGACCAACTGGAAGAGGTTACAACTCAGAATAAGATCACTGTGACCCCAAATTAACGTGGGAGGAAAGACGGTTTCACAGGAACAGTGTTTTCTTCTACTTCTGTCTGATCTTGAATGGAAAGTTTGGTTTTAGGTTTTTAAATCATGAAATGTTATTAATTTAGTCATTTAGAGAAAAAATCTGCTCACATTTTTGGGAAGTCTAGATGAAAAGACAATAATAATGATTAAAACACAATGAATGTCTCTAATTGGTCTGAACTTTGTGTGAAGAACCTTGTTGTGATCAAATAAAGGCATGAGTATATTTTATTTATTCACCATCCATCCAGGTTGGAACACACACCTTGAAGTTCTGGTTGGAGGCCCCCCCCCCCCAGTGGAAACAAACATTACACATCTTCATCAGAATCCCAACCTACTCCAATTGGCTCATTTTGATGGAGAGGAGCAGTGGCTCTTCCTGGATGACTCTCTGAGACAGACCACGCTATGGAGGCAGCAGAGTTTAGCCACTTCTATCCACAATCTTTCACACATGTTCCAGTTCTCATGGTTATTGGAGAGAGTTAGATTGTGACTGGGCCAGTCAACTGAGAGCTCTCAGCCTCTTTTTCACCATCACAGACAGAAGCAACACCTGAAGAATCCGTGTCTGTCTGTCAGTCACCATCACTTCTGAACAATACCACAAGATACCTGGACTACTCCACTTGAGGCAAATGGTCAGCCCTGAAACAAGAAAGGAGCTTTGCACCTGTTGAGAACTGTGATCACAGATTTGTAAGAGTTGATAGAAGAATCTTTTCACAGGGACGCTGCAGAATTGCAGCTCAACATTTTTTCTGGTTATTTGTGACAGCTACGAAGCAGCTTTCATACTGAGGGGTTATGAAAAATGTCAACAGAACTCAAAGAGTCAGAAAAGAATAAAAGCAACCATCCATCCATTTTGAACAATGTTTGAGAGGAATGGTAATATTGTGTATCTGGAATGAATTTTAGATCTTTAAGTCCATCTCATGAAAAATCGGAGCAGAAACAAAGGTGTTGCGTTTATATTTTTGTTGAGTGTACATAAGCCGGCTGTTGCAGCGCTCCGCCAATGATGATGGCGACCGTAGATCAAGGCAGATCAAGGAAGCACAATTTCACAGAAGCAGAAATTGAAGTACCTGTGGGTGAGGTGGGGAAATGAAAGGAAGTGCTTTTGCAAAACAAATAAGAGAAAATCCACGGAGTGGCACAGCGTTGCTGAAGCCGTCAATGTTGTGAGTTCTTCAGAGATCTGTGGCGGATATAAAAAAGGGTCCGATTTGGATTCGATCCCCAGATATGTAGAGAAGAGGTTCTTTACATTTAATTAGAAACCATAAAATGTGAAATATCACGAAGTATGAAATATCACCTTAATGGATCTTTAAATAAATTTAACCAGAAGATCGGATCTTTTTATTGCAGGGATTGAGCAACACTTCGTATTAACTTCAAGAAAAGAGAGTGAGTCAGGTTTAAAAGTTTAAAGATTTATTACTAAACAAATTAAACTAGACTAACTTTTAACACTAAATGTATGGTGTAACTAAGGTGAAGTAACTGAGGATGGTGTATGTGTGAAATGTTCAGAACCAGCAGATCCAGAGAAACAATTAGTTCTGATGGGAGTGAAGATGATATTTTGCGCTAAGCTTGGTTGGAGATTTATAACACACATTGAGACGCCATCTGTCGGTCGACGTACCCTTTGCGGAAGTCCCCATTAGATCAGGAATGTCGAGGTCCAGCTTGACCTTCTCTGGCACCGAAGCCAGTAGAAAAGCAGCGGATGCCGACCAGACCAGTCTTGAGATACTTCCAGGCCATGACAGTTTATTGGCATCTAGCGAGACCCAAAAAGGGGTCGTGATGGTTCAGCTTTTATTCTGAAAGGAACCATTGCAGCAGGTGGAACATGCAACAGATTTAATCCAGCTTGTCGTTAGGTTCTTCCGGCTGAAGAGGAAAGTTACGGATTGGCCACTCCGAAAACTTCTCTAGAAACTAGAACGCTTTGAGCTGAAGTTAAGATGACGTGGGCATAGTTTTATAATTTGGATGTTTTGATTTACGGTCGAATCAAAAAAGGACAACCAGAGGGGATTTACCAAGCACCAACAAAACCACACCTCGTGTCAGATCAGGAAGGTTCTGACTGGATCAGAAAAAGGAAATGTGTCATGTGATTCTTAACATTACGTGGATGAGAATGTCTAGTGCCTAGTATTTAAAGTTATAGTACTTATTAAAATACTACTGATCATAAACATTGTCATTTCACAGATTGGTTCACATTTTATTACTGGACTAACACTTTGTTTGATTAGCTTATTAAAAATAGAGAAAGAGTTCTTTGATTTATTAAAAAGAAAGTTTTCTTCTACTTTTTCTCTTGAGCTAAAAGACGGCTTGCTGTGAGTGTGAGTCCTGACTTTAGGAAGGACAAGGAGATGGCTGCCAGAGGAGTGCAGGGACCACAAGGGTTCATATGGTAAAAGCAGTTGTCGGAGATAAGATGGGCCAATACCATTAAGACACTTAAAAACCATTAAAAATATCTTAAAATCGATCCTGAAACATACGGGGAGCCAATGCAGTGATTTTAAAACCGGAGTGATGTGCTCACGCTTCCTGGTCTTCATCAGGACATGAGCTGCTGAGTTTTGTAAAAGTTGTAAACCTGAAGTTTTCTTTTTGGGAAGACCAGAAAGCAGGGCATTGCAGTAGTCTTATCCTACTGGTGATAAAAGCATGCATCAGTGCCTCCGTATTGGCCCGAGAGAGAATGAGGCAGACTCTGGCGATAATAAGATAATTATAAGACACTTTAGAATACTGGTGATTTCAGAACATCACTGTTCAAAAATACAGGATACATCACAATTGTTGAACAATATAGAATATTTTTGTTAAACCAGAAAACTGTGGAATATTTTTGAAAAGTTATTGAGCAATAGATACCATTTCTGATCAAATGTTAATAATAAGAATATTTTAGAATATTTTATATGTGAGGATATGCCTCAATGTCATCTTCCTCCTGTTCATCATCATCACTGATGATGAGATTGGTTGGCGCAATAACTGTCCTCCATTTTCAAAGAAATCTTATATATCATAATTTATTAATGAATATTAAGATTATGTCCAAAAATGAACAGATTTTCCTTGTTCAGGGTGTATGTTCAAATATGGTAGATTTGATTTTCATGCAATGGTTTCAGGTATCCTTTTTTAGCACAACTAGTCAACCTTGTGATATGAGAGCTTCATAAAACTGGCATTGTTAGTTTTAGAGATCTGACCATAAACACGAGAGAAGGCCGAGCTGTTTTTTGGCTCTGCTGACACACCAATATTTGGCGCGTTATAGCCCCGCCCTGATTGGTGGAATGATGCCATGGCACAAACTGCGACAGTCACGTTCCGTGCCCTCGTCTTCTGTGTCCCTTCATGGTTGTTGTGGTATTCACTTTGATTTGGTATTTGATTATCTCCCTGCCTTTCGGTGTATTTAGTTCTGTAACTCTTTAGGTCTTTCCTTTATTTATCTTTAGCGCTCCTGTGTTTTTATTTAACAGTGTTTAGGTGAATTTATGTGCAGTATTTTGTTTTACAGGTTTTTAGGTCTGATTTCCTCCCCTGCCTGGTTCTGCTTCTCCTCTTAGTTTATTAGTCCCACCTGTGCCTATTTCCCTTAATCACCCAGCCCTGTGTATTTAAGCTCCGGTCTTGTCTTCTGCGTTTGTCGGTCTATTGTCTGAGTGTGTGTCTCCTGTCAGCGCGTTTGTAGCCTCCTGTGATTCCTGTGGCTTCCAGTTTTGAGTTTTGACTTTCAGTTAGCTCCCTGGTTTTTGAGCCTTTTTGGATTTTAGTTTTTCCTTGACTCTCCCCAAATTAAAGGATTTGCTTTATCTACACCTCGTCCCTCTGTGTCATTCTGGGTATCTGCATTTTGGGTCCAAACCTCCTCTTAGCGTTACAGTGAGTAGCTTGATCTCTGATGACTGTGTGAAATCCCGTAATTCTGCGAGTTAGTGAAAAGGCACACCGACATAATTTATGATGTGAGTGGAAGTGTCTAGATATAGACATTGGCCCTACAGGGGGCCTAAGTCGCTTCCGCATCATGGGTCCCCAGAGGAATGAAAAAAATTAAGGCAAGTCAACGGGGCTAAAAACGCAATTTTCTCATCCGCTTTGCCTTAAGCCCTGGATCACGCATATGTTGTACTACAATTTAAATGCAAACTATTGATGGGTGTTTCGACCATGCCAGTCACGTACTTTGAGGTTTATTAGCTTGTAAAGTTCATAATTAGCATGACTACAAACTAGAAATTGGCCCGTCGCATATGTGACGTCACCACATAATCTCCTCTCCACTAGCGTAGCTGCTACTTACCAAATGACCAGTGGCGGCTGGTGAAAAATATTTTTGGTGGGGCTGTGCTATTTTTTATTTTTAAACAAACTTGTGCTTTCTGAGCTTTGTGCACAACTTCACTATTTCCTGAATTAAGCACAGCTCTTTTATTTCCTGTCTTACATCATTGGACAAACTGATTAATCCAGGTGTGTCTGACTATTGGCAAACTGCCTTGCGGACCAAGGTTGAAAAATACTGCATTAAATTGCACATAAAATAACACGACCATAAATGGTAAATAGGCAATGCAAGAGGCAAGTAACAAAAACATTTTGTTTAATTTCAACATTTGAGTGAACACCAAAAATTATGAGCAGGTCACTGTTACAGTAATGGTAGTAAACACCACTTAGACAAAATGCCAGAAATTTACACTGTTAAATATTTCTGGAGTGTTGTGCCAAGGTCAACTTTATACAAAGATCAAGTGGATGCATTTGTGTGTGTGTGTGTGTGTGTGTGTGTGTGTGTGTGTGTGATACCTCATTTGTACAGAAATTTTGCCCTTCTGTCCTTCTGAGTGGCAAAGCTCTCGATTAGCTTTTTATTGAAGTCAGGAATGTTTGTGACAAGCTTTTTTTTCCATGGAGAGCATGGCAAGAGCATTCAGCCCATCCTGTGTCATGGTGTTCCTCAAGGAAAGTCTTAATCCTCTTTAAAGTAGAAAAGCACCTTTCTGATTCGGCTGTGGTCATGGGTGTGGTGACAAGAATCTTCTTTTGCATGGCTCAGGATGGTGTGAAAAACCTGTCATATGATAAATTAAAAACAACAGATAAGTACATAGGAAACACTTTTATAGGAAATAATGTCATCAGTATCCTCTTACAAATGTCACATTTCCCAGTTTTTGGGACAATAAAACATTTCTGATTCTCAATCAGATGTTTTTACATTTGAGGTAAAAACATCTGATTGAGAATCAGAAATGTTTAATTGTCCCAAAAGCTGGGAAATTTGTTTGCTGCAGCAGAAGTGTAACAAGTAAAACGGAATCAGATTGATGTATGTACAAATGTACATGAAATACACATTTACATGATTAAATATGTATAATAAGTATGTGTGTTGAAATTAGTTTTTACAGTTATTGCACATTAAACATGTTATTAAACAAATGTCCCGGTTTGTGGGACAACCAAGGATTTCTGATTCTGATTGTCTTGTTCACAGAAATGTAATGTACAGCTTACCTCTGCACCCAGCTGCTGTTGTTCCCTGCATGGCAATGTTAGCTCTGCTGCCTAGCATGGCTAGCTTCACCGTGTTGTTGTCCATGTGTGCCCGGGATGACTCGTGTTTCTTCACCTTCTCAGAAAAATGTTTCATGTCTGTAACTCCTGACTCATCCATGCCTTATCTGTCCCAGCAGTTTTGAATAACAAACACGGAAAGCAAAATAACGCATTAGCGTGATTGCATCCAGCTAGCCACTGCTTCCTGGTGTACCAATTTTGGGAGAAGCGTCGTGTGTTTACCGCTCTCCTTCTCCTGCTGGCTTATCTTTACGTCGGGCTGATCTGGTCCAAGCTCTTTGACATTAAGATTTTCCACCATAGTTCTCCTCTCGAACGGATACTGGAGAGGAGACCGAACTGAATTCAGTGGCTGCTGAGATCCGGTATCCATGCTGGTTGTAGTCACCGGCGGCGTCCATGTTACATCTGCGTCATGACCAAAAACGACTCTGCCGAGTTCTACCGAACACCAACGAATCCTTTGGCGGTAGCTCCATCGCCCATCATGCTTCTGAAACGTTCTGAAACGTCGACGCTGATTGGATACATTCCCATTCCTACCCTTTGATATTCTTGTCAGCAATTGGACAGCGGGTCTCGTCCTGTTTGGGCGATTGAAAAACAGCACACAGCCTCCACCGCTCGGCAGAGCTCGGCAGAGACCAATATAGATATATATATATATATATATGATTTATTTTTGTTACAAAACACACAATTAACTTAGAATATGTGATTATTGTTAATTTTATTTATTTATTTTAAAAAATTAAAATTAAAAACACGGAAAAACTGGGAGGGCGGCGCCCTATCGCCCTCTACTGGACAGCCGCCCCTGCAAATGACCAGATTTATGGTGGCTCTTTCCTCCTGTGGGAAGTTTGCTGAACTTACAGCCATATCCCTCTGTTTTCTCCGTGTCTGGTTCGATGACGTCACTTCCGTGAAGCACATTTGTTGTCCTGGACTTATTTTCAAACAAAACCTAAAATAGCATTCCCCCGTTAGAAAATAAGCTCGTTCTTGGCATCAAAATGCATCTTTAAACTTCACGAACATCATATGTGAAATCTATGGCACAAAACAAGCGGAATTAGAAAATAGCATTTTTAACCCCATTGACTTGCATTTTTTTTTCATTCTTCTGGGGACCCGTGGTGCGGAAGTGACTCCCTGTAAAGCGTTAAAAATGGCGACTGGTTATTAGAAGAAAAATTTGTCACTATGCATGTATGAAAGAGACGGCCATTTCTCCAGTATGTCAGTGCTGTAGGGCTTTTGTTTTGTGTGTTTATTATTCACACATGACATTTACACTTTTAAACAAAGTACCAGCTGTCAGGAAAGCCCCAAACACGATGAATCCCATGCAGACGGTTGACTGAAACACAAATAACTCAGCAAATGTGTTATAAATTAAAATAACACTCGTTGGTCCGTGAGCCAGCGAGCAGACATTTTACCCACACGTCACATTTTTCTGTATGCATGATGACTCTTTACACAGAAACGTGTTCTAAAATAAGTGTTTGGACCTTTTTTTTATTCCTCTGCTTGAAAATGAGATGAAACTATGGAATCCTAAAAGCAGCAGATGTGCTGAAGATCAGAAGATGTCTGGATGACATTGATGACTGAGGTGACGAGTCAGCACAGTTACATTTTCTCCCTATTCTTAAAGAAAGCCTCTACAAAGCAGTTTCCGTGTGCAGAGTCCACAATCAATGTCACTTTGGTGAGTGGTAAAGAAAACAGATGTCCAACTCTTTCTTTATTTCTCTGAGGAAGTCAAGTTTCCAAAAGTGCACATAAGAGACAGAGCTGAGCAGCCTTGATGGGATCATTCAACTGTTCTGAGGGGTTTCTGTGGACAGATTATGAACCGTTACTATCCTGCCTAATTAGTTCACCTCTTTCACACATGAACAACTGTGCACTAATGACTGCTGTGTGGCAGGATAAAAACAGACACAGTCTTTTTAACAACACCTCAAATCATCCTGCATAATGCAACTATAGGCAGGCCCGGCCCGCCCATTTGCCAATCTGGCCCGCCCAGGACAGATTACAACACCACATGCAAATGTATTGGCTCAAGACGATCAACAGAGGGCACTCTAGGTTACTAATCAACAGTTTCAGATGCAGTAGAAGAAGACGCTTTGGTACAGTAGCTTGCTAAAATGGATATCAGAGCTTGCTTTAGCAAACAGAAAAACAATGCCAGCACAAGCAGGGATGATGCATCATCAAAAAGGCCAGTGCAGCCAGAAGTTGCAGCTACAAGCGCTTCTGTTCCTCTTCTCTCCGTGCCTCCAGCACAGTCTCAGCAGAAAATTGCACCACCGAGTGGCAGCAGCACCAACATAAATTGCTGTTCAGATGACCTCGGGGTGGATAAGCCTAATCAGGTGCGCCTGGAAAATTATCCAGTTCAACTTTTCTCTGGGAAAAAATGCAGTTTTTCTTCATCATGGTACCAAAATAGGACATGGTTGGAGTATTCAGTGAAAACAGATGCAGCATACTGTTTGCCCTGCAGAAGTTTAGTTCTCATTCCTCATCAAACTCTTTGTTACCATTTTTGAATTCAGGGGTGTCTGCTGTCCTTTTTATTCAAATGTTTTAAAACACATATTAAAGTTGACACTGTTTTTGAACCATCTTAAATACAGGGTTGTCTGTTCTCTTTTTAGAAAGAAAACTCTAGATTTTCTAAATCTTGTTTGGAAGACCTAGTTTACACTTCTTACCAGCTGGTAGCAGTAACGCACCAAGTCAATGTTTACCAAGAAGAAGAAGCACGCAGCCGAGAGTAGCATGCTAACCTGATGCTAACTAGTATTCGTGTAAACATTATGAGAAATACGTGCAAAAAGAAGAATTTACTAAGGTATCAAGCTGCAGGGCAGGATTTGAAAGAAGACGTGTGGACTAAGTACTTTATTGGAGAACATTAACTGGACGTAAGGATTGTTTTGAGATGGTGACTCTGTGGTGCGCAGGCACAGCTAAGAAGGGTGAGTTGCAAGTATTTTTCTAAGAGGTTCAGTAAAATTGGTTACTTTTTCTTAAGTTTTGATTGCATCTTTAATTGGCATACATAATATGAGTTAAACAATGAAGAATCTTAGCTTTTCAGTTAGTTATGTAGAACAAGTTGGTGACACAAAACGGCAGATTTGACCCGTGTCACGCGTGCCGGTGAATGAAGCCGAGGAGAGGCGAGGATCCAGACCGGGGAGGAAACAGGCAGACAGGTAGGATTTCTTACACTGATTTTATTCTGAGACACGCTGGACAATGAAACAATGGACCAACACAAGACACAGAACAGAAGAGGCTTAAATACACGAGGGCAGGGAGCTAAGGTGATTGGGAAACGAGAGGCAGGTGGGAGCAATAAACAAGACACAAGGCTGAACCAAAATGGGGAGACAGGACAGGGTGTGACAACCTGGAAGTATATATATGTAACGTCCACCGGACAGATTATAAACATGCAAAGGGGTTGATAAAAACACGGTTTACTGGGCCCCCCAGAAAAACCCACTGCCCCTCCAGGTGAAGTCCTCTGGCGCCGGGTCTGACTATAGGTGTTTTATGTCCTTTTAAAAGCAGAAAAATGGTCGATGCTTGATTCAATCAAAAGGTTTAATTCCAATATTTAAAAAAAGTTGCAGGCATAAGACCCTTTCCAAAGCAGTTTCACAGCATAGGTATGGTCCTCCCCTCCAGAGGTAGAGAAACAAAGAGTGATGTACCATCTGGACTTTTTCTAAGCAGGCAGCAAAGAAAGGGAGGATTGAGACAAAGAAGCATTCAATGAAGTAAAAACACTGAAGTCTACAATTCACAGGAAACCACAGTTGTGATGGAAATAAACTTATAACCTAATAAAACAGAGGCATTCATTGAATGTATCCATTAAATGAAATTCAGCATTTCTAGCATGAAGAACTTAGAAAAGCTCAACTTCCTTCAAAGGTTGAGGAAAAGCCGTTCAAGCAAGCTAGATACAAAAATAACACATTTATAGGTCCAACTTCCTTATTTTAGGCTTCCACTAAAGTCAGAATCCAGTGGTTGCAGAAAATGGTACAACACCAGCCTGTGACACTGCCCCCATGAGCAAATGCAGCTCAGCTGAGCTGCTAAGGTCAAAATGTCAAGAACCAACTCTGAACTGAGCCTCCTCCCACTCGCTTTGTGTCCCAACCCTCTGGTTCAGAGATGGGCACATGTAGTTTCAGGCAATTCTGTGTCTCAGCTCACATTTTATCATCCTGTAACAACAGAGAGAAACCCAGTATGGACAGAGGTGTGTCAAATCTGGTGATGACTGGTTTTTCAAAATAAAGGTACATTCTGAAAAACTGACATGATTTGTTGTGATGCTCTGGTTTATGCACTTGCAGGACAAGAGTAGAGAGAGGAGAAGGCAGCTTTTAATGGGTTCCAGTTGGGGACTACTTGTATGGCACGTGTATAATCACAGAACAGATGACTCGATTATTGAATTATGCAATAAAAATATGCTCTGCACGTGAGCTAATAGCTCATTTCAGTGTGGTCACATCCAGAGTGCATTACATATATTTTAAACAGCTCCAATTTTGCAGAGGTATTTTTTGATATTCCAGCTGGAAGTGGTCCAGGCTGCACTGGAAGTTTTTAGGGCCTTACATGGACAAGCACCATCATACATTGGTGATCTTCTGAGTCCCCACACCCCCAGCAGGTCCCTGAGGTCCAGTGACCAAAGCCTACTGGTTGTGCAGCACCAGGCTAAAGACCAAAGGTGACAGATCATGTTGTTGAAGGATTACTAACTTTTTCATAGTGATTCAGAAGCACCGATAACACTTTACAATAAACATTCCCAATATTGTTGCCTATTAAGTGTCATTAAAGCAGTTTTTGCAAAACAATGCCGTCAATTTGGCGCAATGTCGTGGCGGCATCAGGGAGCCTTATTTATCAGGTGTCAGACCGTGGCGGTAATGTGGCGCAATCATATCCTTTTCACAAAAGATTACATGATGGGGTATGGGGGCGATCTATGTGCTGCCATGGACTTCTGTCTATCTTGAACATAACTAGCTTTTTTATTGCGGTTGAAGCCGCACTCATTACGTATCTTTTAACAAGCTGCTCCTAAGGGTGTCTGTCCTCCTCAGTCCCTATGCAGCTTCTGGTGACCTTCAGCT